AGTGCTATCCCCAATACGAATACCAAGGAGGCAAAAATCATCTGGGTGGATGAAAGGCACGAGGCAGACTTGATGTCAGCTTTGGCCATTAGAATACCTTTGCCACATCCAACCACCAAGCTGATGGCGTCATCAAAGTTCAAGTACTGGACCGAACAGAGGTCTCTATCAATCATGTCGTTAACTGAGTCTAAATCAGAAAAGGTGGTGAATTAACCTAACGCAACCCGGGTCTGCCTTTGGGATAAGCCCTATGGGGGAAATTCGAAGGTTAGCAATGGGAGAGCAGTCCAAAGCTAGCGCTGGATTTTTCCTGATGGATGGTAGGTTGCTAGCCACCCTAGGTGTGCGGGGACCTGAAAAACCCCACACAGAGAGTAGTAGCTGCCTCAGTGAGCGGGTATGTGTCGAGCCATGCTATAAGTTTTTCGAGGTGTATGGTGATGTGGGCAAGGCAGCATATGCAATTTGTTGCAGAACCACAGGGAGGTTTGTCAAGGGGACGGTGGAGATCGTAACTACTGGGAGTTTTGGCTGTTTTTGTTCGCCTGCGGGTTGCTGGCAAATGCAGGCATGCTGGCACGAATCTACAGATCCGAGTCCATTCTCTGACTTAAATTAGTTCCCATTGTTACACTAACATGGAGTCTCGAGTCTATGATGCTCTTGCTGCTACCCTTTGCCTGAGTGCACTCCTTTGTTCCATTAACCTGTGCACGGGTTTTGGCTACGTGAAATATCGACATACTCAAAAAGGCCAAAGTGTGGGCATTTTTGGTATCCCTTCAAGTTACCCACAGTGCCTGTTACGAGGCCCAGTAGAATCAGTGTCACAGCGCTAAAGCTGTAATAAGCTCTACCCCAACCCTCTGGTCACAACTACCTGTACATGTACTTTGACCAAAACAGGAGGGGCGGAACACAAGGGTAACTTCCTCATCGTTATGAATCTACAATAAATGTACATGTAGATTCATTATGAATCTACAGTTGTGATCTGTCAATTGTACTATTGATCTGTTGATCTTACTGCATGATTTGTTGATAATTCCACCATCACCTAATCACCTTTTCAAATTCAGGGCTGTGTAAAATTGCTTTGAACAAGGGCAGATACATTTGTAATTTAAGATTTCCCACAGGATCCACTGGTAGCACAATCAGATATTGTGATTGTGCTGATAACTGATCCTGGCTAGTGTTGGTGATAACATAAAAAAAATTGACCACTTTAATATCGTATTATCCGACCGTAATTAACGGATGAAGACACTGTCTCTGTCGTTTCCTCTACAACTGACAAAATCTTTATTGATAGCTCTCTTCATCAAAATAGGGTTGACAGATTGATAACTGACGGACAACTTGATGGACTGATTGGATGGTCTATGGGTGGACGGACCAATGTGATGGGTCGACAGACGGACCAATGTGATGGGTCGACAGACGGACCAATGTGATGGGTCGACAGACGGACCAATGTGATGGGTCGACAGACGGACCAATGTGATGGGTCGACAGACGGACCAAATTGATGGGTCGACAGACGGACCAAATTGATGGGTCGACAGAAGGACCACACCAGTGCGATGTAAGCTTGGGCGGTTCAATCGTTTACGGAACCGGTTCTGGTTCCCCATAAATACCCGGTTCCGAGGTTTTCTGTGCCTGCCATTATTGTGTCCTTGTAAAATCATTGAATTTGCGAAGTTGGCAATAAAATGTGTTTGTCTATGTCTAATTGCATGAACTTCTGGAAACTTATCTGACTCATGAAGGAATAAGAGCTCGTGTCTAGCCACGGTGGGCAGCGCTGGGCGGCACCACCCAGTACTACAAATTTCCGCCCAGCTCTAAGGTTCAAATTGGCTGTGCCGCCTGGCACAGATATTAGAAAAAAAGAACTGAAATATTGCTGAAAATGCAGAGATGCCAACTTGTGCGACTTAGGCCTAATTCGTACAGTTTGTTTAGTCCGTTTACGATCCAGACCAAGATTTTTATGATATCCAACTCGAACGTACAAAACCATACAAGCTACTGTTAGCACGAAGCCGGCCTTTTAATTGCGTGCGTCAGAAATGTGTCACTGGCATCCTGCAGTTTGTGCATACAAGCTGAGTGAGTAGCGGTAGAAACCAGCGTGGTTGAATCATCCGTTTGCCCCAATTAACGCTATGATGAACTGGGGGCAAATAGGCAGGATTGCGACGTGATTGTGTGCATTGTACATGTACATGTACCAATATCTTGAATACACACATGTGTAGAACATTATTATAGTGCTAAAGTTGACCGCAGAGTGGAGGACTGTGGAGGATTTGATTCTTGGACTTGTTTTGCACCGTGGCAACAAGTGAGCAGAAGTTCAGGGATGAATACACCACAAAAATGGGCCTTTATTGCAGAGTCTTGTCATGGAGAAGCTTACGTGTTTTGCAACACATGTAAACATGGTAAACATTGCCCACGCTGGATCTTACTGTACGACACCAAGAAGCACATTAGTTAGGCCAAGAAAATATAGCGCTGCTTCCGATTCAATAGGGTCGGTATACATGTAGGTAAGGATTCTTTGACAATTGTTTTGTGCACTGCTGATTGAATGGGACGAAAATTGCCAAAAATTGCCCAAAAATGATCAAAACAAAAACTTACCAGAGTTAATGTGAAAATATAAATCAACAATAAATTACAATTCACACTTACACAAATGCTAGTCAGGTAAATACAAGTGTTTTGACATGAAGAGAAGTTGTTGACAGGTGTTGGTTTTGAAAGAAAAGATGACAGGATTTTTTTAAACTTTTTTTTTCTAATTTGCCGATGAAAGTTCTAGGGTCATGCCCAAAAAACAAAGTCGGTCGGGAAACCAGAACTGGAAGTGCTATAGGTTTATACTTTTTCATTTTGAAAATTTGGCATCTCTGATAAACGTACCAATTCGAAAGTATTTCAAGCATTAGAAAGCATTGAGAACTGCGCTCACTATGCTTCACAATCCAAAAATTTACCCGGCACTAAAATAGTCCTAGCTAGAACACTGCTCATGTCTGACTTTAGGCAGCCACATAGCTTGGTCCATCGACCGCCAAAACAAAGCACACGGCTTGCCACTCTAGACTTGCTTCAACACGTTATATCTCTTCATACATGTACATGTATTTTGCTGTAGTCCAAGTCTGCATGCCGCAGCCCCACGCGAAAGCTGCAAACCCCAATCGGAGCGTCGTTTTCCTTCTACACGTAAGAGACTTGTAATAAAGTCTAGTCAGAATCAAGTAGGCAACATGCGCATTCGAGATGGGGCCCACAGGCTGCGTGCGCATTAACCACTGTTCGATTTCACCAAATAAACACACCCCCATCTTCCATAAAAGGCAAGCCAATGAAGCAGTAAATCCCCGGATGGAATACATGTGGTATTGTCATTGGCTGATTATTTCTGTCCCCTTGATTGATGCAGCACACCTTGTTTACAACTATCCGTGTTTGGGCCACCGAAACTAACAAGCTCAAGGCGGTGGGATCGGGGGCTACAATCGGCACTTGACAAGGCAATTATGTTTTACAAAAAACTTAGGGGATTATATTCAACCGTTAAGTAAAAAACACAAAACACAGTTCTCTTTTTTCAACCGCAGAGGCAGATAAACAATGCTTGTCTTTCAAATCTCTTCAGAGAATGGCCTTCGGAGGTTTGACCAAACCGTCCTCAAAGTTTGATTTGCATATAAGCTTCCCCATTGGTCAAATCTTTGAAGGTTCATTGTGTAACTCTGCTGATCAGCAGATTTTTCCCAGGTTCCAACAACCTGCAACCTCCAATTTGATTAATCTCCCAAACAATGGAAAGTGACATTCTGTTTCTAAAAACACTTGGTCAGGACTGTGGGGAAGTTCCCCTAAAACAATGGACTGGATTAGCAAGTGAGGTAAATATTATGACCTCCTCCACCATTGCATACCACAGATGGTTCCATTCAGGTTGCATAAGGTTGGAAAATATCCTTGGAACAAGGGGAGCAGAAGAAATGCAAGATAACCCACACAAAATATACATTTTTTCATTTCCTGACATTAACATGGAAACCTTCTAAACTTTGGTCAAGGTACCGGTAAATTACAACATTAATGTTCAAACTCTACTTTACTAGGAATGAAATCAATTTTATACAGGAAAGCTGAAACTTTGGATGAATTCGGTTGTGAGGGACAGACATTTTCCTGTATGAGGTACGGAAGAAAATGTGACCCTCTTTCAAAACACAACAATTGCTAACATACACGTTTGTATTTCACCCTAAATGCAATGACTGAATTCTAGTTGATGTACTTGTTGCTAGTAAAACATCAAGATGGGTAGATTTGGTCATGGGAGGCTAGTATGCTAGTTGCCTATTGACCAGTGCCAAAAGGTTTGGTAGTCAAGACCATCTATTTTCAGTTTTTTGACTAGGGCAGCCACTAGCATTTCAGGTGTCAACACTGATTAACTGCCCTGTGACTAACACTGTAATAACAACAAAAATAAACCTTCAGTTACATGTACACAGATTTGTCTCACCCTTTCCAAAGAGAATTTGTCATTTTTTTCAGTGTGTTCAGTGTGTACGGTTCTTCATCTTTCTTGAGATTTGGGATGTCTGCTTTTTGCAAGCAAACTCTACCCTTTGAGTTTGAGTTGATAAGGACCTGACGAGTTCACAAGATCCTTTGGTTTTATAGTTGGCTTCTTGAGACATGTTCTGAAGAAAAGAGACAATTGAAGACTTGTATGACAAGAATATTTGAGATTTGACATTTCGACCAAGAGTGAGCTAAAAGCCTACATCTACAGTAGCTTGATACCCAGGATGTACATGTACTAAGGCATTGTGTATTATAAAAAGGCGTGCAGTACACTTGCACTCGTTGTCCGAAAGTGAAAAGAAATTAGACTTCTTGTCCACTGTCAAATTTAAATAACTGTTTTGATTGTTTCTTTGATTCTCCCTCAGGCTGATGAGAAGAACTGCCTGCATGGATGCTCCCAGAACGTGTTTGCTGTCGATCTTGGAGAAGAGTTCTTAGCCTTGTTAAAAAGGTACGATATTTTGTAGTAATGCCACTAGGCATGGAGACTAGTGCGGCTATCGTTAGTTGCCTCTTCGCCAATGCGAACAGGTTTTGGAAGTCATGACCATCAATTTTCAGAATGTTGACTTGACGTTCAGCAGCGACTGGCATTTTGGGCGTCAACACTTATAAACTGCCCTGCAACTAAAATTACGTTAGTAATATATGTTACGGGCATTCTGGACCAAAACCGGGTTGGGCACCTACCCGAGCCTTTTCCTGGGTACCTACCCGACCCCCTTCAAAAAGGTGTAAATATCACTCACCACCCTTTCATCTCCGGACTCTCTCGCTGCGCTCGCTACAAACCGGCAAACTCGTTCCAACACCCGCCTTTGGCGCCCTCGTGGGGGTCTCTGTGGTTGCTGTGGTAGAATATCACTGTTGGTGAGTTGGTGAGTAAGAGTTGGGCATCTATAGGACTAGGCTACCTGACCCTTACTCACAAACTGACAAACTCACACCAAAAACACAACAACCAGCCAACCCAAACAAAAAATTTCCCCCGTTTCAATGTAAAATGGGGGAATAACTCAAGAATTTGCAGTAACTCAGGAATTTATTCGAGAATTGGGGAGCTAGCAGCAGCATTTAAATTAGCAACCTCCTTCTCTTCACTCACCTCGTATTTTGGAGGTGGTTTTTGGGGTTGCTTGATGTAACTGATGACAAACCCGTCAACGTGTTTTATGATATCAAACGACCAACCTCTGCGTTTTTGAGCTACATATAACTCATTAGGTTTACCATCAGCTCTGTTTTTTTCCTTGTCAAACTTTTCTCTTGTTCCTTGACTTCTTGGTCGTTAGACTGATTATTTTTATCTCTCTGGAGTTTAGTATCTACTCGTGATCTGATTTTTTCTTTGGAGTTGGTTAACTTTTTGGACCTCAGAAGTAACCAACACAAATTCTTTGTGAGAAATATCACCGTTATTAATGGCTTGAGATACATATTCATCATCAATCTTGTTTAGTTTAACGTCGCCAGCACTCCAATTTGGTCGTGTTTTTTTCGACTTTTTAAGCAACTGTTTACTGCTGTATTTCAACAAAGCATATGCAACAAAGGCACCGATGGCAAGACCTTCTACCAATAAACCCACACGTGGCGACGCCGCACCCAACATGGCGGGTATGCCTACATGTACAGCAGCTGCCGTAATACCGAATGTTTCATCTCCATATTCCACGTAGCTAAGCGCGGTCAATAGTCGCTTGATTTTTTTGTATGTGGTTTCTCTCACGTCTCTTTCTGCCAAAATCTGCGCTTTGATGTCTTCAAACTTTTTCAGTCTGTAAAGCTTTGTTTGGTCTTGCGGTGTCTCTTCCTGTCTCTCTCTTTCTTCACACTCTGCTTCACTTCCCTAAAAAACCAGCAGAGAGAGTAATGCCTTAAAACTCAAACAGAATTTCAGGGCCCTTGTTATTAATCAATTCTCCCCTATTGTTTCTCACCGAAAAATTAAAACTTGTTATTTTTTTTGTTTTTTAAGCTATTTTGCCATATCGCTTGGATCTGTAATAGAACACAACATGTCTGAAGTCTGTCCATTATAATAATTATATGTATGAGATGTGGTTAACTCGCGACAGTGTATCCAAAGCTCATCGAAATTTTTACTTTTATTTTCCATTTGTAAATAATATTTGGAACTAGCCTACGTTTAGGTAAATTGAGCAATTTACGGACTTCTTTACCCAACAGCAATCTAAGATTTAAGCCTGTCACCATAATTGTAACTAAATTTGAGTCTCGATGCACTTAAAACTTACTCCCAGAATTGCATTTAAAATGAATTTGAACCAATTGACATCATAAAATCCCGGAGGAATAACGATGCTACCACGCTCTCCAGGCTGCAGAAAATTCTCTGATGTTTCCCCCGTGTGGAGCTGTTGCATGATTAAACGATTAGAACCCATAACTAAAAGAGCATCTCCGGGTTCAGATTGAGCGCTTCTAATTAATCTCGTTCATTCGTCGGAATTATCTTCTAGAAATCCTTCTTGAGTAAATTTGAGCATAATGTGGCGTGTTTCCCTAGTAGTATTCCCTTTTTTGTAAAGTCATTATTAGAAATGAACCATGTTTTCTTGCTGTGTAGAAAGTCCTGCTTCTTGAGATTTTTCTCTCAAAATTGTCTCTTCTCTGGTGAGTTTTTCTAGTTCAAGGTCTTTCCTGCCTCATAAGCTCGAATATAATCGTTTATTAAGTCACCAAACAAGGTTGTCGTATTAGCTTCCTCTAATTCTGACACAGTCG